CATTTTCTCTACAAAACATTTTTTAAACAAATCTTTTCCTAATAAAATATTTTCTTTTCACCCCTAGATTCATTAATTGTATACATATACGGAGGAATAAATTGATAATTTACGTCACTCCCGAAAAAAACACTATGCGCCATCGTTTAGATGCATGCACAACTACCCAATTACGTATATTTAATGGAAAACTACTGAACAGCTCTCGCAGCTTTCGACTGATTTCCACCTGGCATTAATATTAAATCAGAAGTATTTTTCCCCAAATTATCTCAAGTTCATGAACCTTCATTACATTCTGAATTATAAATTCTTAAGGATCGGAGTTCTCGGACTACTTTCTACGAATCACTGATTAAAATGGAAAGATCATAGAAATATCTCTCTGATTTTATAATCTGCATGTAAGTTTATCGCGAATTTGAATATAATTTCCCGCAGATTATTCTGGTTTTGTTTGATTTCAGGTTTATATGAATTAAAAAAATCCGCTGTTTTATTCCATGTTGAATGCTAATATCTTCTTTTAGTCTGTATTTTAATTTATCTACATGTCGTTGTCAACTTGGTAATCTTGGGATGCCCTCTTAGACATGATTCTGTAATTCTATTCGATAAATTAATGTCTTGAGGATCGTGAACAACCAATAATGACATCAACTCAGGGACTAGGAGTAAAAAAATAAAGGAATTGTTCGTAGACAACTCTTGAAATTGCCAAATTACCATCTGTTTTGGGGACTCATCTGAACATGAATTTGATTTACTTGGCACTTTCATAGCATATTCTTTCTTAGGCTTTAACTAAGCAAGAGAAATTAGTAATTGAAGTAATAGAGAGCTTCGCCTCTACAGATAAGGTGATACAGAAGTGCTTCGCCAGCTAGTAACCATGGGATATCTACAATTTCTTTTTAGTCATCTCTCATGGGAGTTGAGTCAAAGGTTGGGTCAACAGTGAGTTTCTGTGGGAGAATAATTCAGTGAGTTCTTTATGATTGCAAGAGTGGAAATTGCTTTCTTAAACTAGTATAGGAAGTTTGCATCTTAAGATTGTCTGGAGGAAGAGTTGATGATGAAGATGAAATTTAATGAATAATCGACTATAAGTTGATTTTCCATTAGCATTACATCCACTTAAGGAGTACATCACCATAGATTAACTCTCTCTATCCCAAACTCCCTTTTATCGCCAATCTTTGTTTCATATAACATTTCTAAAAGTATTATAATGTATCATTATTTGATAAAGCTGTTTTTATGCTTTGGTCCTGCTGCTGACAATATTTCTTATAAAGCAATTTATACTTATTCATGCCTCAATCACTAACTCAATGCATAGGTGGGTGTGATTTAGTGAAAGCCTCTATCCACATTCTGCGTATATTGTTGGAGCAGATTGCAACATGGGTTTCTTGAATCTC